TAAACCTGTCTCTATTCTGCTGAAAGAAAATACCTTCAGCACCCACATTATGTTGCTGCATGTTTGAAGCTGTCGCCAATATTGATTGATACCGTGTAGTCCTGTGCAGGACATGTCCAAATGCAGTTGAATCAGTGTGCAGTGGGTTTGATTCCTGAACACTCACAGTACTTTTAGCTGAAGTGGTGGAGGTGGGGCTGTTTGGCTGGGACTGAGCATTTGTACATTCAGTCTGTATCTTGTTTAGATTTTTCTCTGAAGGTTCCACATTTGGTAGTGTATCACGAAGGGTGCTAACAGCTTCTTCCTTGTGCTTTTGCATCCCCTCAGCTGCACTCTGTGATGTTTGCACCGGAGGTTTTGGGTCCAGTTGTGGAGGTATTTCATGCAATAGTGTACCAGTGTCACCTTTGTGTAAAGGCTGGGTGTGTCGTTTGCTGCACTCTAATTTGGGACTTTGGATTTCAGATAAAACCAACACTTTTGGTTTTGCATCTGTGTTTTGAGCATCCTCATTCAAGGCCTTGTTGCACATTGTTTTGACATTACTCACTTTGGACTTGCTGACAGCAGCATTTCCATCCTTCACTGACAGTAAAGAGGTGTGAGGAGGGAGAGCACAGGGCAGGGAGTTATCACCGACAAAGCCAGGTACAGGTTTGGAGCTGGAGTACAGTCTGTGAAATTCCTGATCAAAGCGTTCAACCATGCTGCCTTTCACAAGAACAACCATAGTACGATGAACGTGCCAAGACAGCCAGGAGAAACTGATGGGACAAGACAAACAAACACACACACGCACACAGAATGAATAGAGCTGAAAACAAAACAATGAGGACACATGACATAAACATGCAGACATGAGAACACAATCATTCCCCAAAAAGGATTTGCATTTTAGATTTGAGCAGATGTGCAAATTTTCAGTTATTCTGCTTGTATGTGTGTGTGTGTACCTGTATGAGCCAGTCAGCACTTGAGTTGAGTCAGATATTATAAAACTCTCAGCAATCTGCCCAGTCAGCTTCCGGCCTGTTTTGGCACAGTATGTCTGTCCATCAACGCTGCGTACTAATAGTTTCTGCGCACACACACACACACACACACACACACACACACACACACACACGCACGCACGCACGCACGCACGCACGCACGCACGCACGCACACACACACACGCACGCACACACACACACACACACACACACACACACACACAACCAAAACAACAATTACTTAATGTTTTTCTGATTACTTTTTAATGTGAAATCAGATAGAAAAGCAGATTTATTTGAATGTTGGCAAAGCATTTAATGCATTCTAAGTTTGCAAAATAGCAGGTGAATGCAGCAGCACATAGACAAGACTTTCAAATGTTTTTATATTATTTATTTGTGCAATTTAATGAGGCAACGCCTGCATTTTAGTGCACTGATTTTCACGCGACATGCGTCATTATCCACAATCACCTGACAATAAACGCTCTAATAAAGCAGCAAGATTTCTGGTCTCTTGCACTCTCACTGCCCACTCTGACCTGCACCCAGTATTGCTCTCTTGGTCAGCCACAACCCAAGCACACACCTGAAGGCTCTGATCTGGGGTTTAAGATATCATCTGATCACTGAAGATTTCTACGCATTAAATAAAGCTGCAAGGAGTGATTAGGATGGAACCTAGACCAGCCCAACACAAAAGGGTCGTTGTACAGTGATTGAACTTAGGATAGGGAGTTATGGGTCCTTTAACAACATACTATAATCAAACATCAGCTATTAAAGATAATAAATCTAAAGCTTTGAATAAGCTTCTTCTTTTTTATGTCAGGGAAATTGTGCATTTAAATTAGCTTACATACAAACCTTGATGCAGACTGATTATTTCACTAAACCAGGTTTAGGTAAACACAAGGGGAAAAACTCACAGGGAAGTTTTTGCTCTCCAATTTGAGCTCCTGCCACATGCTGACAAACAGGTCAAGGTTGAGATGATCCAACAGCAGGTGTACAGACACGTTCCTTTTCCTGCTTGCCTCCAGGAGATCACACAGCAGCTCCACGTCAGTGAAGCTGTCAATCACTATAGCCAGGACCTACACACACACACACACACACACACATCAGCATATATATTATCTTCCTGGCACACATGATCCACTGCCAAGTTTTTGTCATAACTATTCACATGTGCAGAAGTTCATGTCAAGTTCCTGATTGGATGAAAAGCACATACTGTACATGTGCAGATGCATGAAGACACACATGCACCTACCGTTTCAGCTTTTCTGATGAACTCTCTGACAGAATCTTTCATTGCACAAGATCTGCCTTCGGACTGGAGATAAATCCTGTACACATCCTGGCCACGATTAGTCACAGTCACATCTAAAAAGTAGAATAGCATATTCAGAGGAGGGAGCAAATGAGAATAAAGAAGTTTAAGTGTATTTCTCCAAAAGAACAAAGCACATTAAACTAAACAGACTGCACACACTGAATACACTGACATGGTTAAACGTAGAGCATCAGAGAAGTTTTTCTAACTCGTGTTTTACCTTTAATGCTGTTTGGGTCCTCAACAGGGTTTCTGTCTGTGGACATTGAACGATAATGTTTGGAAGAGTGGCTACTTGGAGACAAGGTATCTGGGTCTTTGTCAGCATCATCTGACGCATCAGGTTCAACTATGTAAAGCACAAAACACTGTATCAGCTTACAGATAAATACAAAGACATCAAACCAGTGTTCCTTTTTTTTTTGCATGCATACATCTGATAGCTATTGTATTCAAACACAACAGAATATATAGACCTGTAAAAGAGAGATTGATGAATAACAATGTAAAAAATGTTTTTTAACCTGATCTGCCATCCCTCCCATTTTCCAGGATGTAACTTTTCTCCACCACTGATAAGAAGTCCACCTCTCCCTCTGCACTTAAAACCTCATGGTATCCTTCTAAACCGTGACTGAGCAGGGAGTCTGCTGCCAGACGAGCAGCCTCGTTGTGGCTGAGGTCCAGTGTTGGTGCGCTGTCTTTGAGTTCATTGTAATGGGCGGATGGGATACGAAGGTCCTGCACCCGTTGCTTCACCTTCCCCAGAGGCTTTGACCTCCTGTACCACAGCGCTGAGACATTGCTGGAATCCATGAGGGATGAATGCAAGTCTTGCAGGGTTGTTAGCTTGGATGAGATGTGTCTCTCTGACACTTCTAAAAGACAAACTAGTTGTAGCATGCAGAGAGAAAGAGAGAAAACAAGAACACAAGACCCACCCCTTTTTTGTGGCAGGATGGTTTAACAAGCAATAAGTGATGACAGATGATTACTGAGAGCAAAAGTCACGTCATTATACAGATATGTAACCCTCGATGAGCTAATGCACTGTTCAAAAACAACAGAATAGACTTTTTAATCACACAAACGTCGATGCCTTGTGCACAGCACTGTCAGTCCTTATATCTTGCCGCAGGTGATAGCAGGAAACTTTGTCTTGACCACAAATGAGATTTGCTGTCAAACTGGAAAGTATGTTTAAACATGACAAACAAATATTTAAGCACACTTGCTCTGTGAAAGTCGGTTTAGGGAAATTTGGCTTCAGGACTCTATACTGCTGTGAGGAGCAAGGTTTGTTGTTGAACAAGTTAGAGAATAACAAAACAGGAAATAACAAAACAGGAATGGATTAGGCTGCTTTATCTGCAAGTGATTTAGAGCAGGCGAGCAGAAATAAAAGATGGGTGGAGGGAGAGAAAAGAAAGAAAAGATTGAGTGACAGGAATGGTGATGGCTGTCATTTCTAAAAAAAACTACACCTGGATGCAGAGAGAGAGAGATGTGGCACACCCTGACTGAAAGGAGGGGCCAACCCACAAGCTCTCCTCTTGTTTCAGAGCAGAAAACAAAAGTAAACGTATGAAATGAAAAGAACAGTCTAGAAACAAAAGAAGCCAGCTTACTAAGCCGTAAAACTTGACATGTCAGTATTTTAAACTTAGATTTCTATGGTGCCCATAACTCACCATTAAAGAGACAAAACAAAAGATTCGCAATTTGTACAGTTCACATAATCTGTGTTCCTCTTGGATGTTTTAATAATTACAGGTCACATATTATTCTCCTTTTTTAACAAGTCCCCACAACATGTGTGTGAAGTTTCTTGTTCTAAATCCACTCTGATCCTGTATTTGATCATGCCTATAACCCCCTCTATTTCAGCCTTGCTCAGAACAGGCTGTTTCTGTGTCTGTACCTTTAAATACAAGTGAGCTTTGTAAGACCACACCCCCTCTCTGGAAGAGCTTTGGTGGCTTGGGCTTTCTTGCACCATGCCCATTTGTTTAAGGTGAGAAGGCAGACTCAGAGGGCAGAACTAACACCTAGCTGTGGGAGTGTCACGCACCTGGGGGAGGGGTTACTGCCCTTTGTGATGTCATGAAGGGAAAATCTCCAAATGGCACACATTCTCTAAAAGTGGAGCAGGTAAAAGATGATATGACAGACTTTTCTCATAATTGGGGGGTTTGTAGACAGATTAGGGACACATATTAGTATTAAGTGTATTTACTTAGCATAATATTTTGACAAATCTGACTCCCTGATAAGTTTGCTCAAACATAAAGGTTCAGAGCCATTGCTGTGCTTGATTTGAATATATATCCATAATTTCATCTTCAATAAGATATCCTATGTCTATGAATATCGTGTAATTCTGCTTCTCCAAAAAGAAAAAGAAGCTCTGCAGCCCATTCAGTACGAAAAGAAAAACGTCTTAATCACCGGATTATCTAACATTCAGTCAAACCAGTCATACCTCTATTCTATGTCATTTTATAAGCTTACAGATGAAGGCTGTAAACTGGATTTGCATATTGTCTAATGTGCAATAATTCATCTGATCTATGACGTGTGTCTACATAAAATGTCAGTCAGAGATCCATTAGTGTTAACAGAAGAACAAGCCTCCATTGGGAACATATGAGTTGACAATAAAAAGTTTGAAGAGCTCTATTTAATAAAATGACTGCTACGATCACTCACTAAGAATACAGAGATAATCAATGAGTATCACATGTGTGTCTAAAAACCCAATAAAACAGAAGATTGAATCAGGTTTTTTTTAATCAAACAGTTTATCAAAAAAAAGGATTTAAATAAAGCCAGTCAAATAAAATTCATTCAAATAAAAAACAGATCACGGCTGCAATGACAAAAAAAAAAATCACAACAATGAATAAATAGTGTACAAGTGAACATTAGGGGAAAAATGTTTGATCTGTGTCTTCTTTGTAAGAGAACTGTTGTTTCCTGTGGAGCTTTCGTATGCATGGAGATACCAACACTAAGCTAAATGCTAAATGTAGCACCAACACAGTCAGGACTGACAGGATGAATCTGTACCCAGACACATTTCCATACGATCTTGGTTTCATAAATAATTTGTTGCTACAGGTGGAGGTAAGGAATAGTCTATAAGCACTTGGTAACAGTCTGAGTCAGTGTTTCTGTTGTCGTAGCTCACTCGAGACGAGAAGATGTTTTTTCTGACACAGGGCAGTGTGTGGTCACTGGGAGACAGAGGACAGTGTGTGGACAGACTGTGAGGAGGCTGAGCTGCCCTCTCTCGCTCTGGCTGCAAGTTTCAGTCTCAGCTCTCTGATTTCCCTCAGCAGCTCTCTCTCGCTGCTGTCCAGCTTGGCCCGGCCTCGATCCAGAGAAACTGACAGGGAAAGACACACAGACACATTATTGACACAATACTTTGGTTAATAAGGGTTTTTATTATGGAGCTGCAACAATAAGACAATTGGACTAATTGAGAAGTTGGCCATGGATTCTTGGTTTAAGTACTTTTTTCCAAAGCAAGTCTGTAGGTAAAAATCCAATGGTTCCAGCTTTTCTAATAGGAATCCTTCATTATCCTTCTTGTCTTATATTAATGTGTCGAATCAAAAATCCAACACAAACAGAAACTTTCTCACAGGGGGCTTAAATGCTGCTGACCAGTGATGACACAACAAAACCCGGAGCAGCCAAACATACTTTACACCAGAGAAAACAACAGAACCCATCTGAATGTCCTCTTTTTAGGACAGCCTCAACGTACACGTCTACGATCACTTACAGACGGTGGAGGTGCTCTCTGTAGGTGAACGGCTGTTCAGACACGTCATGTTGGTTCCTGTCTGCTTCGGGGAGGTGGGGTTGGGTATGACTGCTGGATCAGCAGTGTTGGTTCCGACACACACAGCAGTAGTGATGACACAGGGTCTATGAGGAGCTGTCTGTCTCTGTGCATCTGGGAAATGCAAACACTTTAACATTAGATTTATGTCCTCATAAGGGACTGTTTAAGTCAGCGGCCACAAACTGAAACGCTGTCTGTTAAATACCTGAAGACGGGGGCTGCTGCTGCTCCTGTAACTGAGCTCTGCTTCTCATCACGTCCTCCCACTGGAAATGAACAAGCACTCTGTTTTTAATTCAATTATTTATTATTCCAAATCTAGCAAACAGTCTTCTGGGATATATTTTAGCCACTGAGATGTGTCAGATATGATTTTTTGTAATGCAGGAATAAACAAATATCAATACTTTTTTTTAAATGTTTCAATGCTTTGATGCACAAACATATGTGATACATTTTCTCAGTTATGTCAGTTAATTTAATTTACAAACATACTGTTGTTGCTCTCACCTTCCGTCCCGCCACATCTCTCATGGTGTCAGCCAGTCTCTTCTCCTCTGCCAGGGTTTGTCTGTGAAGCTCTGCCAGTCTCTCCCTCTTCCTCTCCTGCTCGGCATCCACCTGCTGCAACCGCTCCGCCACCTCTCTCTGCCAGTCTGAGTCCAAGCCCAGCTGGCACGCCTCCGCCAGGGACTCCTCCAGGATCTGTTTGTGTGTACAGAGACGAGGCCAATGAAAACAAGGAGGAAGACGGTATCTGTGCCCAAATCAGTGTTTGGAGGCCTGTGTGGCTTTTTGGTTAAAATGATGTAGGTGTGAGTTAAGATCAGTGCTGACAACTCCAGACTGACTGTATGACTACTAACCTGTATGTTAGTCTCTGTGCTGTGTAGCAGCTCTGTGTCGCTCTCGTCCTCCCTCTCCGCCCCCCTCATCCTCATCGCCACCTCCTCCTCCACCCTTTGTCCCAGGCGCTCCTGTTCCTTCAACAGGGTCTAAGGGAAATGGAAAACAAACAGAAAACAACTGATACAACCTTAAAGAAGCTTACAGTGATGTCATCACATGGTAGAAATGTACTGTTTGACTGAGTTATAATAAAAATGTGTGTCCATAGGATCTTTAGGTTTGGAAGAGGCATTGTGGGGAAATAAATGGAGCTACAAATCACTAAGAGTAATGAATGAACAAAGGAGGATGGTGGTTGGATATTTGGCACCTGTTCAAGTCGCCGCCGCTGAGCCTCCATCTCCATCTGTCTGATTTCCAGATCCTGGACTGCTGCAGTTGTTTCTTGCTCCCGCAGATCCATCTGCATCAAAGCATGGGGGTTATTGTTGTGTTAGCGCTCCAACATGAGGGTCATTACAGAGTTCTTTGGCTAAACTGTGCCTGGAAGAGCTCGGAATTACAAAAACAACATCATGGTATGTAACCATAACTTTATGAGTAGTGTCTGAAAATGACCCATCGTGTAACATAATGTGAAAGATCTGCAGGTCGTGTTCACCTTTCTGCTGATCTCCTGCTCTAAGCCTTTGATTTGTGAGGCTCTCAGGTCCTGCTGATGCTTGAGGAAACGTCTTCTGGTAGCATCCAGCAGCTGCAACTCCTTTACCTTCAGCTCTCTCTTCATGGCGGCCAACCTGCAGAGGGTGGAGCAGTATCCGTGAAGAACAATGCTACCTCATAACATCATTTTATTTATTTATTAATAATCGGTTTGAAGCATCTTGTGATCTTACTTTGCCCTCTGTTGTGTTAGTTTTTCTTCCTCTTGTGCCAGAATGTTTCTGCGTTGTTCCTCTGCCTTCCCCAGCAGCTCCTGTGTTTAAATCATGCAGAAGACAATTCAGTTCACATGATTTTTTATTTCATATATAAATATAGATCTATTTGATAAGCAAGCGGAGAACTGCACTATTTTTTATTTAAAAGAGTTTGTGCTTAGATATTATTCTGAAGAACTACCTGTTGTGCATAATAGGTCTCCTCTTCAGCCTGGCGACGCACAAAATCTGCACGCAGGGCCGACACCTCCTGCCTGATGACACACAAACACACATATCATCACGTGTGGCTCTAAAAAGGATGAACTATGTATTTAGCTCAATCGTTTTCTTTTTCTTATCTCACCTCTCGCGGAGATACTCCATCTCCTGCAGTCGTATCTTCTCCCTCTCCCGGCTTTGGTACTCCACTATGAATTCTGGGTACTGGTTGAACACAGGGTACTGGCCTTGGGTCAGGGGTGTAAAGTTAGAGAGCAGATGCTTGGGATGGATGTCAGCTGGTGTGCTGCCCATGAGCCTGTACGCCTCCTTTATCATGGCTCCCACATCCAGGTTGTTACGATGGTGGAAAAAATACTAAAGGGGAATAAAACAGGAGAGATGAGATGTTTCTTTTTTTTTTTTTTACTCACTGACTTTAATAACAAAAGCAGAGGAAAAAAGGTTCTTACCTCATAGTCCTGTTTCTGAGAACAGAGCAGCAGGGGCTCACGAGAGCAGGTGATGTAGGCCACACAGGCCATGAGCAGAAACGACGGGTGATTGGAGAAGACGTTATCGAAGAGTTTGAGCCACTCGTCGCGAGTCAACACCTCAGAGAACAGCGTCTCCAGCAGGGGCCAAACATAGTGCTGGGACAGATACCGAGATGAAAAGTTAAATATGGAATCAGGATGTTGCCTCTTTGGGGTAGGAAATGACGTTTCTCCTCCGGCTGTGTGTGCAGCCGTTACCTGCGAGGTGATTCCACAGTCCACAAGGTGCTGCAGGAGCTCCTTGTCGTGATGAGCCAGAATGTTCTCCGCCATGCTCAGGATGTTCAGAGGAGGGTTGGGAAAGTACTCAAACCAATGCTGACACCAGTTTACTATAAAACCAAGCAACACAATGAAAACACTTTCAATTTGCTTCAAAGTAAAGACACAGAATGAACAGAGAAACATTTTGTTTACACACGCTGAGAAGGAGTGTAACTTCATGTTTAAGAGTGTAGCAGTGCTCTTCATTGCATGTAAAGAACGTGGACTTTGCATCACCCACAAAAACTGTAAATCTGTTAAATGTGTCTATAAACTTTGACTAAAGCTTCCACAGAGCAGCATCATGATGGGTAGCAGTATAGAAGACCCTGAATGTTCATAATGTGATATCTCATTGGAAATGGCACTTCATAACAACAACCAGTCATTACCTAGGACGGTGGCTACCACCTCGAAGCAGAGCATTGGGTTGTTCTGGAAAAGCTTGACAAAAGGAAAGGCCACCAAGGGAAGGTACTCCACCTCTCCAAAGATGGCCGCCCAGTGAGCTAAGGCTGACAAAACTCTGAGGAGAGGCGAAAAAAAGGACCACATAGCAGATCTGTTTTAATATATGTCATGGAAAAAAAAAACCTTAAACTCTAAATTCTGCAATCAAAGTATTTGCATTTGTGTAAAAAGAGAAGTAGGTACCTCTGCAGCCCCCTCTGTAGCTTGTGACTTTTGATGGGATATTTATCCTGCAGAGCAAGGTAGGCTAAATGAAGGCCTTTATCCGTCAGACTGCTATATGCCGCATGGTTCTCTGGGAGACACAACAAAGACCGCCATACAAACATCCTGCAACACACACACACACACAAGGAAGTCTTCTTACTTATTTCACACAGATAAGGGCTGAAAGCTTTTTTTATGAATTCTCCTCCTACAAGAGTTCTCTTTACCTGTATTTAGCAGGATACTCTCCGAACGCTTTGAGCATATCAACTAGTCTCTTCTTATTCAGACCAGCAGGCAGTTCATTCTACCCAAAGACACAAAATATAAGCATATTGAAATCCTTCATTTTTAACAAAAAGGAAGAGAAGAACCAAATGTATTTAGAGATCGGTAGGTGTTGTTCGTACCTCTTTATCCTCAGTTGCAGACCCAGCAGGAGGTCTGAGTATCTTCACCTGAGTCTGCCTCCCAGAACTCTTTGCTGGTCTTTGAATGCCGTCTGACCTGACCTTGACTCTCAGATTAGACAACTCCTGTTCAGCTTCAACTCCCGAAACCATGGCCACCTTGGAGGGCGGAGGCTGGGACAGACATGACAGAGAGACACAAGATAAATACACGTATAGAACACTATCTTATACACAAACCACACAACTTTGTTATATTGTAATCATCAGCTAAGCATCACCTTGTTTAGTTCCTGTGTGAGACTCTGAATACTGTAGACGTTGATGCTGCCGTTGTCCATGATGGCCACGATGTGCCGGCCATTAGGAGCGACTGTCACTGTTGTGATGGCTTCATCATGGGAACCCATTTGGAAAAGCAGCTTGCAGGTGTGAATGTTGATAAAGCGCATCAGGCCGTCCTGACTCAGTACACCTAGCGTCTACAGAAACAGAAAAAAAGTGTTGAGAACATGAGGAGGGTGTACATGCTACCAAGTTCACTTCATTTGTCATTATATTTAATAGTTTCAGCTGATAACATGTCTACACTATATATTAATAATATTAATCAATATATGTATCACTGATTGCACAGCTCTGGACAGCTCTCTATATCGATACTGCTCATTTACAACTTTCATCACTGTTTTTGCACATTTACATCTACCCCCAGCAAAGTATGTTTACATTTAGTTAGACATGACTGACAAAATGTTGTTTTGAATTCTTTATAATCTAGACTTGAAGTAACAACTTTAAAACAGAAATGTATTTCTGTCATTGGAATTAAATTGTGGAAATCTTAAATAATGATTTGAAGGGCTGTGTTCAGATATTTCAGTTTAAGAAAATGTATAAGAACAAAGTTATCAGACTGTATGAAATTGGCAGTTAGTGTGTTTTGTGTGTTTTCCTTCTAATTTCTGAGGAAGTGAAGACTGAATTGTCAGATTTGTTTTATGTTGGCATGGTATTCATTCATTGATTGTAAGTGGACAGACTATCCAGACATTTATCGTTTGCTTTTTGAGTAAGGGGGCAGGCAAAACAAGATTGATTCTTCTCCCTGCTCCTTTCCGTACATGGGATAAAGTGTGTATTGTCTTGTCTGTTGTGTGTTTTGACATGTACGGAACAAAAAAAAAAAGTAATGTTAAATGAAATCCTGGATGTATTCTCATTCTTAGTTTTTATATTTTTAGTGCTTATTTACTTTGTATTTAATATTATATTGTTTTATTTGCTAATATTGTGTGTTTGATAACCTGCTGCTGTAACGCCACAATTTCCCAGTTTGGAATGAATAAAGTAAATCTGATCTAATCTAAGATGAGATATATGTTAACATTTGCAATATACAGAGTTACGTGAATAGGCTTTCTTGAAGAAAAAAGTGAATGGAAATGATCCCAGAAAAGAAGTCACTTTACAGCTGGAGAACAGAGGAGGTCGCAGGTTTACCTGACTGGCGCATCCGTCAAAGCTGTCAGGCAGAAATTCCAGTTGTCTTACGGTTCGGACCTGCGTGGGCATCTGAATAACCCTGATAAGCTGCCTGCTGTCCAAACACCACAGGTGCAGCAGGTTGGAGCGCCCACCAGCAGCAAGGCTCTTACCATCACTGTCAACATGAATCAGGTACACCACCATTTGATTAAGTACTGTATGCTATGTTTACAGGCTGTGTATGATTGGAAATACAGCAACAAGAATTATACTTATTGATTTATATCAATGGTTGGTTTTGACATGAGAGACCCACCGTGTGACAGCGAAGGCCTTGTAGGAGACTTTTGGTCCACTGTCAGGAACAGGGAGCTGATATTTGCAGAAGAGTGTGTCGCTCTCCCAAGCAAAGATGGAGTCGTCACTGAAACAGCTGAGGATGGTGTTACTGAGCGGCAGGAAAAACACCTGCAACACAAACAACAGTGTTTCATGATACAAAAACTATTAAAAGTCCAGCAAAAACAAAAAAAACACATCCTCAATCATCAGATGTAAGATAACCTTCATACTGTGATCCAACAGATTTTTGTCAATAGTTTTCAATTCTTCTGCGAGTGCATGTTTACCCTCTGAATGCCGACAGACTGCCGGATGTTGAGCTTCCTCTTCCTCTGGAAGGTGTCCAGGTCCCAGAGCTGAGCCGTGTCTGAGGACGTGCTGATGGCGTAGCGGCCTGAGCCGTGGACGGAGATGTACGAGATCGCTCCCTCATGACCTCGCATCCAACTGACCAGCTGCTTTGTGTCTGTGCAAAGAAACAGAAGGCAAATAGAAGAGGAATGTTAATATAGTGCTCCTACACAGTGATCTACTCCTGTTCCATTGAACTACCTATCTGCTTTGTGTGTGTAAAAATGACTACTAGGCATGAAAGGGTGTGTTTCTCTCTGTCCTACCTTTGTCAAAGCACTTGATGGTGTAGTCAGTAAGGGCCACAAGGAACTCTGTGGTCCTCCGGAGGCTGAATGCCAGAGCAGTGCAGGCCTGTCCTGTCTTCTGCACCAGACGAAACCTGCTCAGAGAAAGAAGCAATGAAAATACAAGATCAGAAAAATGAGTTAACGGGTAATAGCTGCCAACTTTGAGGTCAAGTTTTTATCTGAAAAGAAAACCCTTATAAGTAAGGGTACAGTTATGGCCTTGTAAATGAAAAGAAAGCACAGGATGAAAGTTTGCAGGTGTCTTTTGTTCCTCTAATTACAACAATTCCAGGTCAGAGAAGAGATATGCTAACATTAAATGGCTACCAGGTCTTTACTATCTGAGAAAAAAGTGCAATGTGATGACAATGTTGAATAATGCAGTGAAAATATTAAGTTTCATGAATAAACTAAAGTTTGAAAGTGCATATTAGTTATAACTCACGGTTTATATTTCTGTATTTTACACAATAGAAGTGTTTGCATCATGTTTCTCACGCATCCAAAACATTTTCCACCACTAAACTCGCAACAATAAACTACTCATATTGTAATAATGGTGACATTAGGATTTATTAAACTGCCTAAATGGCTCCCTAAACAATGTTTAGGATATGTGGAGACAGTAATGAGAGTGAGTGGATCATAATATTTGTGAAAATGTCATAATTCCCGTTAAGCCAACAGTTGTACATCTAATCATGTTGAAATCGAGTTGTAAACAAAAACTTGAAAAACCACCAGTCACCTGTTTCTACTGATGTCAAAGACATAGATGTTGCCATGGTGATCTCCAGCCAGGAAGGAGTCTCCTGTGGTGTCAAAGGCAACATGGAGGAAACGCACCGTCTTCGCCTGATGAGCAGTGCGGACGATATTTACCAACACACTGAGGAAGACAAACAACAAACGCACAACGGTTCCCACATAAACAGTGGCACATGACAGTAACAATACACTCTAAGAATGTGGCTTTTCCTGCAACAGCTTCTTTCATGACAAAACACACCAGGAGAGTTCACGGCAGGATACAGCTGCAGAGGTGCTTTTCAGTATTACTCTGAAAGTCCAAAGTGTTTGTTGTTCTCTGGCATTCTTTGCATTAATAAAAATCATATATAATAATGCAAAGTGTTTATTATTTAGATCCACTTCAAATAAACTTAACATATTGACAAATAGTTTTAACTTTTAAGACCTATTTGATTAATTACACACAGAGTTCATATCAAGAAAAATCTCTGATATTAGAAAAGTCAGTTCTAAACAAGCTGCGACCTCCGCTGTTGAGAAGGAATCCAATGCTTGAGTGCTAAAAACTGTAGTTCCTCGAATGTTAACTTCAGGCTGGCTGCTAAAGTCAGATACACACAGCAGATATCAGCCTGTTTGAAAAGAGGACTTTGGTCTGAATAGTTCGTGTCTTTATCAGCTCAAAGTGTACAGCGTTGAATATTTCAAGAACTAATCCGTGTAGATTTTATGAAGGAGAAGAGGGTTTTTTTGGTTGTTTTTTTTCCTCGTCAAAGCGTCTTTGAGTATCAAGAAAAGCGCTATATAAAACCAATGTATTATTATTATGCATAATTAGGGGTGTGAGTAATTTAGGAGGCTTCATGCTGCATTCACGTGCTCCCTGGATAGTCTCAGTTTCTGAGTTTGAAAGTCGTTCTTCTGACTAACGTGTGTTGACATGCTTTCAGTTGAAGTTGGAATGTAGTAACAACAACAACAAACAGCCTGGACGCTTTGAAGAAGATGTGAGGGATGTCACTGTTACAAGTTAAGTTGATGTGCATTAATAGAATTAATAAAAATGATGTTAACATTAACAAAACTTATTTCGCCCCCTCTGTGATGGTGAATATGATGAAGTCATCAAGTCGGGCACCTTATCTCACATGAAGGCAGAGTAAGGCCCTTTCAGTTTGTGTCAGTTTTGGAATACCCTGCTGACACAAACGGTACCTTCTCTTTTTGCTCAATTGTCCTCCACATGTGTAAGCAAATTAAAAAAAAAAAAAAATCTAGTCATACTTACCTTACCTCACCTTAACAGTCAGTATTACTCATTAAGAAACTTTGCAACAGAAAATGTGAAAAAGGCTGTTTTTGCATTGTTTACTAGATAATCATTTGTTTTCCATCCACCCCCCCTTCAGTGGTTTCTGATATTTATAATAAGAATATGAAAACAGTGTGTCGTGTTGCTGATGATCTGTTTTTCTTTTGTAGGTCATAAAGAGGCATCAGTACTAAATTCCGTCTGTTTCATTACCGGTTCAAAACTCCTCACAAGAGCTCTAAGTAAATTAAATGTTACAAGAAAATCTGAACCCACAAACTACTATAACTACTTTTATTGTGTTTTTCTGGAGTGGGATATAAAAAGGGAGCAGTGTGTTATTGTTAAACAAAGCTTTGATATTGTCTTCCACTTCAAGAGAGCCAGAAGAGGCAATACCTTTACAATATTATGTTTTTTAAAACTATGAAGGCAAGGCAAGTTTATTTCTATAGCACATTTCAACAACAAGGCAAGCATCATGACAGAGGAAAGAAAAGAAACATTAAAATAGAAAATTTAAAAATCACTGAAATTATTAAATCTGAAAATATGTTCAAATAAAAATAATTCTAATGAAATTAATTGAAATAAATAAAGTAAAAATATAAAAAGAATTAGAAGAATATTCGTCATCCGTTTGAAGAAAACATGTTTTAGACACCCACCCTGCAAGACAGAGCACTACTGCAGGTCGTTCATCCCATCTGCAGTCAGACTCTTTAATCAGACTCTTTAACAACATCACCACCTCATGCTACACACTGTGTGTGTGTTTTTAATAATAAGTCTCTCCACAAGTGGAAATGTAGATAAGTGTAATTTTTTATTTAACTGATGTACATATGTTTAATTTTTAACTTCTATTTTTATTATTGATAATTATATTCCCGTCCCGTTTTCTTGAGCTGCTGTAATGCACAAATTTCCCCCATGGGGGATCAATAAAGTTTATCTTTATCTTTATAGGATATTGTTTTCTTAGTTTATTGAGGATTTAAATATTACAATAGATTAACAATGTTTGTGGTTGATGCAGGGTCCAGGTTATATACTAGTTGTGTGCTGTTTTACATGTAGGGAGCATTACATCACACTACTTCTCAGTGTATAACTCTGTGCATTAGGCCTCTGTATGTCTGGTGGCTATCTGAAGGTGTTATCATTCTGTCACAGTATTGAGGGTTGTATGAAAGAGTGCAACAAGTGTCAGGAATTGTTAGCAGTCACCTCTCTACGTTATTTGAGCTAGAAAATTACGTTTCAAATGAAAATCTTAATGCATTATCAGGATAAATGTGGCAGAACTTAAACAAGAATCTTAAACTTAAAGGAGCATCTTCATCTTTTTAAAGCTTACCTCTTCCCTGCTGATGGTTTTCGATGCCATACTTTCCCCTCTTCTTTGTTTCCGATGTCTGTCACCTCCATGTTAAAAGAAACTCAGAGGAAGTCAGAGCAGGGATTGTAAAAAACACAAAATATCCCTCTTCAAAAACATAATGTTGAAGCTGCTGCTCCAGGTTACCAAAGCAGGCTAGTTACCGAGCTAACAGGCTAAAGCCGTTTTACAGGCGGAGCCAACAGCGCGAAATTTAAAAGAGCAACATTCAATGTAGTTAGTTTAAAGTTACTCTTACACAACTCATAAAGTTCAGTAACATAGAGAGTTAATCAATGTTCAAGAGTCCCGCAGATAAAAACTACTCAATGCTTACAGGTGAATTCAACTTCAGATCCAGGGATTGTTTTTAGTTGTATTTAGAGGGCGCTTATTCTGTCGCCTAAAGTTGACGTAGCAGGTAAATAGAAGCGGGATGCATTGTGGGAGTTGTGGTTCTAAACGCTTCTACGAAGATTTTGATCAAACTACAGTTTCATTAAAATGTACTTCCAAACTTCAAATATTGTTTCAAACTGTATTAGTTTGGGGGACGATATAGTCACCTAAAAGCTCCTGATAGGTGCATTGACATAATGCCTTTATCTTCGAGTTTATTTTTTCATATATATCCTGCCACTCACAAAAATGTGTTCCTATTTCCATTTTTTTTTTGTATGAGGATGTTTTGAAGTAGCCTAGCCTTAAAACTCTTCTTTTAACTCGACATTTATTGTAAAGTAAAACAAAAAAAGGAACAAAGAAACAATAACAAGGCAAGGGGATAATTTCCATCCCTACTATTTAAGGCTGCCGTGCAAACATGATTCCAGTTTGTATTAACTTCACTGTCAGTTTTCTGCTTTAGGAAAATTTCACTACATTTGGGCCAGCCTCTTCACTTTGCTGGCTGCCTCTGGATGGTGAAGTGGGAACATTTGCAAATTGTACAGGAAGTATGGTAGTGATTAAGAAGTCCAAACAATGAGACAATACAAACACATCCGGTTTGCCGTTTTCCTTCAAAACTAAGTGCATGACACAAACATGCAACTTGCAAATACAGAATCAGAATCAGACATACTTTATTAATCCCAGAGGGAAATTAGATAAATACTGTATATAAATTACGAGATAAGTAAATCATTTTGTAATTAAATGTAGTGACTTGTCTGCAACTGGAAATAAAAAAAGGAAAATATACCTATTTATGATGCCTCTAATTTTTATGATGACTCTATCATCTTTTGAGTTCATGTCAAATACAAACATTCATACAGATCAACACATTGTGATCATGTACCTGACTATTCACTTTAATGAGATGCTATAATCTAAAAGAAAGGGTTATCTAGCTTTAGCTAAAGCTAGCAGTACTAAAGTTGGATAATAGCTACAGCAATTTATTGTACAGATTGTAGTGATGCTATTTCTTCTGACAAACATGTTTATTCCCCTTTGAATATCAGCTCCATCTTTAAAAGTAACATTTTCCCTGGTTGCTAATTGTTCTGTTCGTATAATCATAAATGTTAGTACTGTTCGTTCGTTTATTTCATGGGCTGTAAATATTAAGGCTTTTACTTTGAAGGGCTGAACCGGATGTGTGTGCTCTTGTCTCAGTAAAGGTTGTCAAGCTAGCTGTCTTTGATTAGCCACGTCATGTAAACTTAGCAGTGGAGCAGTTCTGATTCAAACGAAGCGAGGAGTGTGAAGTTTTTCTTAATATTTGTTCATTTTCTAAGTGTGGGTCTTGTTTCGGGGTTATAGCTCGGCAGAACATCGTGAGTAAAGATGTCAGATATCGGGGACTGGTTCAGAAGCATCCCGTTCATCACCCGGACCTGGTTCGCTGCCTCCATAGCTGTCCCCTTGATTGGGAAACTGGGATTGGTTGATTTTAGGACCCTCATGCTGGTCCCGGAGCTGGTCTTCAACAGATTTCATGTAAGTTTCTCCACTATGTTTACCTCCGTTCGTCAGACTGGACGATAATGACTTTGGTTGTTGTATTGTGGCTCAGTCGGTTTGTTAGCAGGGGGCTAGCAGAACTCACTCAGAAGGCCTGAGCTGCGTTACAGCCAATCAGAGGCTGAGACGTTACAGCCAATCAGAGGCTGAGACGTTACAGCCAATCAGAGGCTGAGACGCAGCAACTTCCTGAATCTGTCAACATGGGACTTTATTTAGCAACACTCAAATAAGGCATGAGTTTATCACCAGCATTTAAGAAAGATGCATATACTGAAGTACTTGAACTCAACTTATTTATACAATATATAATAAGAGATGTAGAAAGTTAGAGACAAGAAAACATATTTGTTTTCATTTCATTGTACAGTGTTCCCTTTGTTATTTTTGTTGTATTATATCTTTACTTTAATACAGTGTATAACTTCTGTACAGTTTATTTTAATTTACTTAGCTGTTACTACAACTTATTTATTTTTACTTTTTGTACTTTTCTACTCTTTTTTTCTTATAATGATATTCTATTTTATATATAATTTTAACTTTTTATTTGTAGAAGCTGACTCAGGGAGAAACGCACAGGAATTCCAATGTACCTGTACTGTCCTGTACCTGTGAAAATGGCAATAAACATCTATTCTATTCTATTATACTTAGAGTATGACCCTTCATATTACCGAAATATACATTACCATTTCTTAAAATATGATGCACTGTTGCACATTAATCTGATCAATGGTGAATGAAGTAGGGAATAAATGGCTCCAGTTTTCACCAGTCACAACTGGTAATCACTACTCCCACAACAACATTATGTGACAATAAACCTTTCATAAAATAAAATAAAATACAATCTCACGTATAGCTTCACAGCAATTTAGAAGATTTATGGATTTGACTGTTTTTACTTTAAAACCCCTTTTGAAAAAACTTCCGTACTTATACATAGTTAAGATCAGTAAAATGTAATGTATTATTTTTTGTCATATTGCTTCTTTAAAAGTTAATGGTCTTAAAACTTTACTGAACACTATTGGACAATCCTAATACTTACTTGTTACTCATACCTAACACAGTGTAGCTGCTGAGTCGCTCATTAATGTGACCTCTGTTTATTAGATCTGTGGCTGCTTTGCAATCAAATTAAATATTTTGTCCCAATCTTGTGACTTACTTTGGACTAGTACCTTTAAGTATTATTGAATATTAAAAATATTTAATATAATATTAAAATACAGTTTGTTGTTAATGTTATTCTTACTAAATAGCATTTTATTTCCGACAATATTATAAGCTATTATAAGCTCCAAAATACCCCTTATAGTCATTTTAAGTTTCCTCTTCATCTAATGATTTTTTTCATGATTTTATGAAATTATTTTTTCATATTAGTAGTAAAATAAAGGTCACATCATATCTAGTAACCTATGGGCAGGCACAAGTTCACAAGATGTTGCACTTCAGTATTGCACGTGGTAGTTTTGTTTACCCCTTAATGAAGAGCAAGTTAAGACAAGAAATGATCATCACCCCTCAAGGCACCTCTCAAATGCTGTATTGATTTAGTGTCTGTTGTCATCATACAATATCTCCAAAACAAATCCAGCAAGTCTGATCTCACTTTATAAGTACTGAGAAGTTGGATCTGTGAACAAACCCAGTTCTGTTAATGTCTAACCACATTTTCTATTAGAATAACATCTCCTATGTTTGTTTCAGCTCTGGAGACCAGTGACAGCCACCCTGTTTTTCCCCATAACACCTAACACTGGGTTTCTGTATATGGTCAACCTGTATTTCCTCTACCACTACTCCACACGGCTAGAAACAGGTGAGACCGATCCCCTCAGTAGCTGTCATACATGCAGTCAATAATACACTTTCTGTAAAGTTAACCTTTTGTTTTTGTATTCTCTTTCAGGAGCGTTCGATGGCAAACCTGCAGACTATATTTTCATGCTACTTTTCAACTGGATCTGCATTGTTGTATCCTTTGATGACCACACACAAATATTCAGTTTAAATCTTAAATATCAATCTACCTTCACAACAACGACATCTAAGGTTATCTCTGTTTGTCCAACCTGTCCTTAAATCCTTTGATTCTAGCTGCACGCTGCCGTCTTTGCCCCTCTGCATTACTCTTTCATCTGACTTTCTGTACATTTCTCTCCCTCTCTCTCTCTTTCTCTGCGGCACTGTGCCATGTCAGTGTGGCTCTGTGCCAGTGGCCTAGTGTCAGTCTACCCCTGCAGAGCAGAGAAACCTAATCTAGGTCACACCAGCAATGCAGCCCGACTCATATCTCAACACTGTTCTATCAGGAGTTCAGCCCTGACTTTTCACACACAGTTTAATATCTGCATCTATCTTAAGTCTACAAGACAAGTTTGGGCAGTTTTCTATCTAACTGTGGGATGGATGCCAGGAGTTAGATGTTTTTTTCAAGAAAAGGGAAGTGGCCAATTACAGTCAGTCAGCAGTCATTTGATCTGGTAACCTTTCAGTAACCCACTGTGATAATCTGAACGTTCCAGCGGTGATTGTATTGCAACATGAGGTTTCTGTCCTTGACTCTAGCTTCAGATAGTTGGGATGCTGATGAACATGCGGGTAAGGCTCCTCCTCTATCTTATTTCTCCAAAAACTATCGAATCAATATTCGGTTCACTAGCATCTGCTAATCTTTACTCTCAGCAACAAGATAATTATGCTAACTTCAACAAAGGGTTGAACATTTTGTTTTCGAGGCAATAAGTCTAGTCTTTGAAAAAGAAGAGGACAAACTTAATGAATCCACAAGTAGAAATTTGGTGTTTGCTTGGTTATTGGACATGCTACACACAGGCCAGGAATGCACAAATACATGTTGTTTACACAAAGGCCCAACTAGAGACAAGTGTTGGAAATTAGCAATAGCTATATACTCTATGTAGCACATCAGTTTATGTATGTATAGAAACTATGGTAAATTGCATCGCCCCTATTAACTAAATAAATTCAAACATATGCACAAACAGTATCCTGAGGTTAAGCTTAAGCTTGTGTTCCGTCACTCTACTGCACAGTGATCATGCATGTTCCTGCACATGCAAATGTATCACATTGACATGCGCTCCCCTAGTTTTGTATTTCAAATATGACCTTTTTGAGTAGTTTTCCTGTTAGCACTTCATCTTTTAAAGGCACAGCAGAAAGAGTTAGTAAATACATATCTTGGCCTGTGGTGTTTTAAGTAACTTTGTCATCATTAGTAAATTAATTAAAACTGTGAATTCTTAACGGACAAAAAAAAAAAATCATGTCATGAATATTGTTTTGTAACTATCTTGTTCATTCATTTTCAGCAATTATAAAATAATGTTAAAATTCCAAGCAGTCCTAAAAGCCACCTTCACTTAGTGTGATCACAGTGGGTGTGAGTTAGCTTTAAGAAATAGCTTAAAGGTAAAACCAAAACTGTTTACTATAAGCTCTCCTTTTATGAGAGACACATGAATAAAACAGTCCTCAGATCTTAAAACTAAAACCTGAATACACTCCAAGCTTTGAACTCATTACTAGGAAGTCTTTTTACACAGCTGTGTTGTTGTTGTTTGTCTGGGCTTACATATTGTTGTTGATGTTGTTGTTCTTAGCTGCTGATGATCCCACTGATCATGTCGGTGCTCTATGTGTGGGCTCAGTTCAACAAAGACACAATCGTGTCCTTTTGGTTTGGAACAAGATTCAAGGTACGTCAAAGTTTTTATCGCTGCTCGTCACATTACATGGAATAGAATTTCATCTAGTCTCATTATAAGTCTGTCATATTTTACTGTCCTATTAAAACGGCTGTATTTATGGCATTGCCTGTCATTGTGTGATCTTCATTGCTCATATTTATTTCTATTGGAAGTGTTCCTATTACTCATCATGGAGATGATTTCAAGTGTCATATAAATGTCATTCTGTATATTCTGCTCCTTCCCTAGGCACATTATCTACCTTGGGTCATCCTTGCCTTCAACTTCATTATCGGAGGCTCGTAAGTAACGTTTTTTTCACTTTGAGTGACAGTACAGTTTTATGGTTATTGAAAGCACTGCACTATAAATATGACATCACTGTTGAAAAGAGGAGCAGGGAATGTTTCTGTAATCCATAGAATCAGAATCAGCTTTACACACCCACGAGGCATTTAACTTTGGTAAACTGTACTCAGTAGGTACAAAGTTATGACATTAAAGATTAACAATAAACACTAATATGTACAAGTCTAAATAATATAATAGTGCAGTGGTGAGTAGTGCAAGAGATGCTGAAGTGAAATGATAACAATAAAGATGTTATTATGTGACAGATGGGTTAAGTTTAAAACAGTGTTTACATTAAAGGTGTGCAAAGATTGATCATTTAGATTCAATAATACATGTGTGTGTACATTTCAAGTGACGGTTATTCCACAAGTGAGACAGGTCTGACTGTTTAGCGTTCATCAGAGAGCCTGGGGGAAGACTCTGTTCTTTTGTGTGGTTGTTTTGGCGTAGTGTTCTGTAACGCCTGCCACAGGGTAGTTTGATAAGTTTGTGTCCGGGGTGTGAGGAGTCTGCAGTGATGCTACCTCCCCGTTTCCTGACCCTGGACCGGTATAAGTCCTGGATGGGGGGCTTTTTTAGTGTAGTAGGTTTTAGTATGACCTGCTAAGCTAACAGTATGTTTGAGTACTTAAAATGAATGTGTACATATTAGAGTACTGTGTGATATTATTTCTAAACATTGTATGGACCATCTTATCGTTGCTGCTGTTCTGCAGGTTTGTAAATGAACTGACGGGGAATCTGGTGGGCCACCTCTACTTCTTCCTCATGTATAAATACCCCGTGGACCTGGGAGGACGCTCCTTCCTCTCCACACCAGAGTTCTTGTAAGTTTGAATTCCAAACCTGTTCTTTCATTAGCTGCTTTATTTTAACTCTTGACAACCTACTCACTGGGTTCATTGCTGAGATTTTAGGATGTTGATAATGTGCTGTAACCTGATTAAAGTCAGATTTTGTAACTATTGCCTGAATAACTTTTTTTTGAAAATAAATCTATTTGTCTCAAATTGACTCAGGAACAAAAAAAAAGTGCTGCAATTACCACTCAGGGCCACAGAGGTCGCTGTTTAGCTGAAGTAACTTGTGCTTTGATTTGAAAGTCAGCACGAGGGCAAGAAGGAGAGTAACTGGAAAGGGTTTAAATATGTGTACTGTTTTACCTTCAACAACAACAAAGAAAATGTAGAAATAAAAGAAGAAGAAAAAAGTCATGATTTTGAAGATAATTCAAACTATCAGGGTATTGTTGCTTAAGTGTGCATCAATTTGAGCTTGCATTGTGATTTCTGCACTTTTACATTTGATATGTATTCCTTCACTTCCAAACAAGTCTTTCAGATTTTTGAGTGAAAAGTAGTTATCACAGGAGGGACAACCATTTTGGTTACAGGGAGACATAACAAGACAGATCACAGTTAACATAAGACAAATATTCAGACTAATAAACTAAAAGGATATTTAAAAAAAACAAAAAAACACACAATTTGCCTATTACCTCTGCTGACAGTGCATATATTTGTGTTTCCCTCTCTGCAGGTATCGCTTCTTCCCCAATCGGAGGGGAGGGGTGTCAGGCTTTGGAGTCCCTCCCAGCAGACCAGCAGCACAGCAGCCGGCGGGAGGAGGGAGACGATACAACTGGGGCGAAGGCAACCGTCTCGGGGGTGAATGAGCTGAGAGGAGAGCCACACCCTCCATCCAAGTTTTCTCAAGATCACAAAATGGCTGTGCGGTTCATGTTTCAGGGTTAAATGCTTGCTTTTCCACTTTAGAACTTATGTTTTGTCCACATTTATGTTTAGTTCTTAACAAAGTAAATTGATGAAAAAAAAAGCATTTTAACCAAGACAGCCCTGCACAGAGAGACTTAAGACTCTGGCTTCATCTCTACTTTTTCAAACACTGTGGATCTGTTCATATGAAGCAGGTTGAAAAAAACAAAAAGATTACATTTTTTTTTAATGCAATGGTGCACCATCTCTCCTCCTCTTTTTTTGTCCTCTTTGTTTTCACCCCGTCTGCCTTTTCTCCTCCCTCAGACTGTCAAGACCAGAGATGTTGCAGCTGCTCACCAGCGCACTGTTGATTTACATTCTTGTGTTCCTGTCCCCTCCGTCTGTGACACCATATCAGATTGCATTGTAATTAAAAAACATCAGGAGCGTGCTCTCAGCCATTCCTCCTCTGTGGAGGGCAGAGCTATGTTAGAGAGAACCAGTTTCCAGGTCTGAATAAACACAGGTGTAAGATGTTTTTTTAAGCCTCTGTGGCACAGACTGGATCTTCTGTCTTAAGCTATGATCTTAACCAAAATGTGGTGATGATGGGACTTTGCTCTTTTGTAAATATAAAAGTTGTTTATTGAAAGGACGAGTGAGTCTGAGTGTTTCATTACTGTCCTTCATGTTTTCTAAAATGAGCCAATTCTGTTCCAGTTTGGCAATTTAACATCCAATCATCCATCCATTATATATACCACTTAAACCGTTCAGGGTATCCGGGTGCTTGAGCCAATCCCAGCTGTCATTGGGTGAGGGGCAGGAAACACCCTGGACAGGTCGGCAGTCAATAAGAGGGCTGGCACAAAATGAGATGACCATACTTCCAAATTAAAAGGCACTTATTAACCTAACAGGCATGTTTTTGTGGGAGGAAGCTCATGCAACCTCCACACAGGCTCCAGCTGCAACTTAAAGCAGGGAGCTTCTTGCTGCGAGGTGACAACACTATACCCACTGCACCATCGTGCAGTCCAAGTATTTGACGATCCATTTCAATTTGAGAATAAGAGAAGGGTCTTATTGTAAGTCTGAAGAAATACAAACACAGAAAGATATACATTTAGTATATCATGTTTTGCATTTGTTGTCAAAAAAGGAGCTGACCACTGATGTGATGACCACAGCAGGAGATCATCAGTTCTCTGTATCCATTCATTGATTTTCATTCCTAATCCATTGCTCTATTCTTCAGTTTCCTGCAGATCAAAAGATCTGAAGTCAATGCAAAGATTAAAAGATGCTCATTCAAGTTTTGCATTTGCACCAAAAAATGAAATGATACTTCTCAGGAGTTAAACCTTTCACCTCTGCAGACAAACACATGGAATGGTATTATTGGTAACTGAGACAAAAACAAAAGAAACCAATACATACAAGTATTCAATCTAAACAAACACATTTGAGTGAGCTCCATTTCCATACATGCAGCATGGAGAAGCATCACCACTGTTCAAAAACAAGCAGAAGAGCGATGAGATGAGCTGCAGAAAGTTATATCAGAATCAGAAATACTTTATCAATCCCAGAGGGAAAATTCTGAATTATATTGCTCCAGTTGAGAATGACAAGTGTCTTGCATGAAGCTGCTGTCCAATCCAAACAGTAGAATGAAGAACAATAATAGAAACTGTTGTGGACCTTTCTTTGAGGTTCCTGTAAAATCATATTTCTCAAAGTTTGTTGTTAATGCTTTGTACAGCTTTTTGGACCCTAAGATTCATCCATCCATCAATTATGTATACCGCTTTTTCTCGTTTGGGGTCGTTGGGGGGCTGGAGCCGATCCCAGCTGTCATTGGGCGAGAGACTGGGTTTACCCTGAACTAAGACACACAACCAGCCACTCACATTCACACCTACGGGCAATTTTAGAGTCACCAATTAACCTAATCAGCATGTCTTTAGACTGTGGGAGGAAGCCGGAGTCCTGGAGAGAACACATATGCACAGGGAGAACATACAAACTCCACACAGAGAGGACCTGTCGGACAGGGAGACACTCCAGGTACCTCCTCGCTGTGAGGCGACAGCGCTCACCACTGCACCTAATTCAATAGGTGTCATATTTTTTTAAGGGGGATGTAGAAGTGACTCAGTTTCTGTGACCTTAAAATGTTAAAAACTGAAAATTGTACATATATTAAGCATCAGTTTACTTATTGACAGAGTTGATGGTGGGAACTCAGGTTTTTGTTCAATGTTCCATTCACAGCTCTGGATTTGTCTTTTAATCTACAAATAGCAACATCCAAAAATCTGAACAATAACCCCAGGGGCATGTCATACAGGGTGGCTGTGGCTCAGTTGGTAGAGTCGTTGCCTCTCAACCGGAAGGTCGAGGGTTCGATCCCCAGGTGGGCAACAAGTCTAATGTGTCCTTGGGCAAGACACTTAACCGAATTGCTCCCACTGCTTCAGTGGTGGTGTATGAATGGCATTAGCTACTTCTGGTGGATGATACTACATAGTGACCACTACCATCAGTGTGTGAATGGGTGGGTGTGACATGTGGTGTATAAGTGCTTTGAGTAGTCAGAAGACTAGAAAAGCACTATATAAGCTCAAGTCCAATTGTTGTTTAATAAAGATGGTGGAAAGATGTAATAGTCCAATGATAAGCCCTGACAGGGTTAACTCAATCCAGGTAAGGTTTTATAAAGCTAAAGTGAGCTGACAAGCCGGAGTACAGATGAGGAAAAGACAAATCTTCCTCACTTCTTCAATGGGCTTTCTTTTTGATGATGCATACAATTTACACTGGAAGACCAAGGTAAGTTTTACAGTTGGTTGTGTTTTTATTGAGTTACAGCAGACCTAAAGTAGAAAATGAAAATGCAAGCAGTATTTGAAAGTAGCCGACAGAGTGCACAGTATCCCAGATACTCGTCTGAACATGAAACTAAAGCAGCAGCAGACATTCAGCCAACAGACAGCAGTACACCTGCTGCTGAAAACACTTTTTGCTGACAGTTCAACTTCACTTTTTTTTTTTCCCTGCTTGCTGAAATATTACAAGCACTTGCAGTTCCAACCAGAAACACACAGAAATCCCTTTTAAATTATTTTTGAAAATGAGTTGTAAAAAAAAAAAAAAAAAAGGAAATTGTTGGAGCGCATGCAAGCCGTTTATGATAGCGTCGGCTGTTGTAATATCCGAAACGCTTTTACTGTTTTTGAGTTAATCACATCTCTGAAGCTGGATTTCAGAAATCAGTCCGAGTGGTCTGGAACGGCTCTACGAGAAGCTTTGATTTGGATGATTTCCCTTTGCCAGCGAGCCTAGAGAGAAGACAAGAGGCGTTTTCACAGATCACAGCTGAGCGACATGGACATGTGAAATGGCCCAAATAAAAAGAGGTTCAGTTATTTTATCATGCGTGAAACACCTCTACCAAAATGTTCTTGGTCAATAATATTTCAAGATTGAAAAAAGAAAGAAGTGATAAGCTGAAATCTTCATTGTCAGTTTGTGCAGTATGCAGTTCTGAGACTGATGGCAAATGTTCAGATAAGAGAGCTGAAAAGGCAGCACGGTGCGATCAAACAGACACTCCACTCTTCTTTGTGTGATCGATCAGTTCTGTATCAGGAAGAACAAAACATTCTGAACTGTTTGAGCCTCGGGTACTGATCAAAAACAACAACAACAACAGCTGATTAAAAAAGACTGAAAGTCAGGTCATAGTGCATTCATTCATTTGTCTTCGTCCGACCCTGTGGCTGTTTGTGTTCATTCTCTAGCCGCACAGCGAAGAGTCTCACCGTCACTCTTAACTGCAACTAGCAAACTTCTGAGTGATTCTCACCTTCAGTGTGATTCTATGCAGAGAGTTAAGGTGACACTGCAAGAGAGAGAAATGTTTTCTAAACCGATGAAGTGACCTAGTGTGTAAAATATCTATCACTACCATGGAGATGTAAGTGCCATCAAACACTACTCATACTGAGTACTGCAAATGTATGTATTCCAAAAAAATAGGACTGATCTCCAGCAAATAACAAACTATTATACACTTTGATCTTAAAACAACAACAGAAACATTCCAGGTTTCAGGGCACCAGTCAGTCCTTTTGCTCTTTTTTTTTTTTTTAAATGTAACAAAACTTGCCCTCCTAGTAAAACTGTACAAACCTTTTTTTTGTAATATAATACAGAAAAATATTTACAAGGGTGCTTCTTCTTTAAAAAACAAACAAAAAGAAAACAAAAAAAAGTGAAATAGAAAGAACAATGCATCAAGTCCAGCTTTGGCACTCCTCTTAATGTCAGCATCTGCACCTTTAAAAATCAGTGCTTTAACTGCAGAACTGCACAGTCCCTGGTGCTTAGTGATGACATCACAGGCACACAGCTTGTTACACTGTTTTCACCTTTGGTCATCTTGAACTGTGATTTGTTGTCCGAAGACGCGGTAGTTCATGATTTACTTGACCTGAAAGGAAATGAAAGAGAAACAGGGGTTATATAATGATCACTGTTATATTCTTACTTTTGACATAAAATCAAAGGACTGCATGTCATTGTTTTATCCATATTCTTTTTACATCATAATTTAAAAAAAAAACATTTTTTCTATAGGGAGAGAGACATTTATGTATCAACATCTGCCAAAAATAATCTTTTTGCACAACCTTTTTTTGGCTACCAAAAAGGAAACCTTGACGTTGTAGAATATATGCACCCTTCCCTTAGCCTTCCTGTGACAGTAGTGTGTTTTTGTGTGTATAAGGTGTGTGTGTGTCTCTGTATCTTTGATGCTAATGATGGTGTGGTCCAAGCATCATCCTGCCATCCCAGTATGCCATCCTCTTGAGGGACTAATCAGAGGTAATTATACCCTAATAACTTCCTGGATAGCAGGAGGCTGCAGCTGTGTCATCTTATAAAAAAAAAAAAAAGAGCAGTTCACCATAAAAAAAATTAAAAAACACAGTTTATTCGAGCCAAGCTCCAGCCGATCATTCAATACAGACAATCATTCCTGATCACGATCAAAGGGGGCAGGAGCGTTTCCTAGCACGTAGAGAGAAGACACATAGCAGCCTGTGCAGCAGCAGCAGCAGAAATGTTTGTCTTTAGCAACAATTTAACCCCTCTGTGCCTGGTATTAACAGAGTCATATCTTTTATGATGGACTAAAATATGGTGCTCATCAGTACGAGTTGCTGATTTAGACAAACTCAAAAAGATTTATGCAGTGACACTTGCAACTCTTCGGCTAAATGGAGCATGTTGTCATCTTTAAAGAAAGAGTGTGGGACATTTAACACATAAATACTGCAGGGATCAAGTATATCTCTCTGAGCCATGACTGTCTTCAATGAGTGAGCTGTGCGAGTCTCGTCGGCTGTACTGTTGTCAGGCCGGGTTTCTCTCATGTTTACATGGACGGCACGGCCTCGTGTATATACTGTTTAAGTCAAGGGCTAGAGAAAAGAAGAAGAATTACACAGCCTACTCACATGTGTGTCTAGAATGGACTTGAGCTTGTAGAGCACTTTTCTAGTCTTCTGCCTACTCAAAGCACTTTTACACTGCAGGTCACACATACACATTCACACACCGATGGTAGATGTTGATTTAGTGAGA